TTTTATTGTGTTTTATTTTTATTATTTTATTACTTTCCTTCTACGTGACTTTACCGAAAGAACCAAGAAGATGAATCCCTGCAGTCACGAATAGATACACGAGTGCTTTGATGTACGAGTGCTTTGGATTACAAAACACGTTTCCGGAGCGAATTATGCTCGCAATCCAAGGTTTCACTGTATTATGGATTCATCTTCTTGGTTCTTTCGGTAAAGTCACGTAGAAGGGAAGTAATAAAATAATAAAAAATAAAACACAATAAAATAATCTTTTAGACAGCGTCTAAAAGAAAACACCACCACCGCTGTCGCCTCGACAGACCTGGTCTTCACCTGAGGACGGCTGCTTGTGTTGTGGCCGAAACGTCGTGAGAATTATTTTATTGTGTTTTATTTTTATTATTTTATTACTTTCCTTCTACGTGACTTTACCGAAAGAACCAAGAAGATGAATCCCTGCAGTCACGAAAGCTTTAAATCGAAATGTATTGTGGATGATACTGGTCGCGAAAGCCTCCTACGCAGCCCGGGCCTAACGCGAGGCTACGGCGGACCGGGCCGAGACCGGCGAACTGGCGATTTGGGGGAAATATGGAATTGCGAATTTTTTTTACGGATATTGTGATTACGAATTTTTTTAAAGTCAAGCTTCAGTTCAATATTCACTGTGTAATCGATTTAAAACGTGTGATGGAGCATGACTACCACATGATACCATCACAATATGAACCGCTCTCTATATATTCTAATGCAAGGATGAGAACTTAAAAGATATGAATTGCTTCCAAAATGTTTAAATTGAAATAGAACAATCAAACATAGAACAATTGTTAAATTTCGATTTAAAGCTTTCGTGACTGCAGGGATTCATCTTCTTGGTTCTTTCAGTAAAGTCATCACGTAGAAGGGAAATAATAAAATAATACAATTCTCACGACGTTTCGGCCACAACGCAAGCAGCCGTTGTGGCCGAAACGTGAGAATTGTATTATTTTATTATGTTTGATTTTTATTATTTTATTATTTCCCTTCTACGTGACTTTACCGAAAGAACCAAGAAGATGAAAAAAACAATTCCAACTAGAAAGTAACAGGACTTTTCAAATCGCAAAAAAATCGCAGCCTTTGCGATTTGCTAAATCGCATCGTTTAAAATTGCGATGAATCGATTTGAAATCGATAAATCGTTCAGCCCTCCCCCCACCTGAAATCGATTAATCGTCCAGCCCTGCCCCACCTGATATCGATTAACCGTCCAGCCCTGCCCCCCCTGAAATCGATTAATCGTTCAGCCCTCCCCCCCCTGAAATCGATAAATCGTTCAGCCCTCCCCCCCCCTGAAATCGATAAATCGTTCAGCCCTCCCCCCCCTGAAATCGATTAATCGTTCAGCCCTCCCCCCCTGAAATCGATAAATCGTTCAGCCCCCCCCCCCCCCACCTGCTTGTTGTAGGCGAGGATCTTCTCTTCGTTGACGTCGTTGCTGGCGACGATCTTCAGCTCCGAGAACCACGGCAGCTCAAAGCTGCCACGGGGGGGGGGGGGGGGGGTGGGGGGACACGACCGGGTAACAAGGACAACCATGAGGACCACGATGGTAACGACGACGATGATAGCGGTGCGCCGTCACGCGTCGCATGGCGCGTGACGCCGTGCGCCCTGGGCCCCTCGCGGCCGCGCTGCCTCACCTCTGGGCGCAGCGGCGGAAGGCCGCTCGCACGTCAAGCGACTGCCGCGCGAGGTCCCCGCTGTCCAGCCTCACGCCCACGGCCCGCAGCCCCAGCGCCGCCAGCGCCAGCGCCACAGCGCAGAAGTTCACCACGCCGCTGCTGTGACGCGCGCACGCAAAGACAAAGGTCCCCGCCCCACCGTGTAGCCTCGGCGGACTGTCGGGGCAAGCGCCGTTGGCGAATAGCAGCAGCAGCAGCAGCTACGAAGGCCGGCACTGTGGCACACGAGCGGGTGGCACCGCGCCCTGGGCCGCCGTTCGTCTCCCCAGTGGCCATGTTTTCCTACGCACCGCAACCAGGTACTCATTTGGGGCCGAGTCGACCTAGGGGAGGAGGAGGTGGACCTGTGAACCGGTTCTCTACAACCATCACTGGCGCCGGGTACGGAAACCCGGGTCGCGCCGGTTTTTCGTGGCTTGTACCGTCCGTGCGGCGGCGCTACCTGTGCACGCTGTAGGTGTCGACCAGCAGCAGCAGCCTGCGCGGGAAGGCCTGGGCGTAGGAGACGAACGCGGCGAGCTCCGCGTCGCGGGCGTCGCGCTCGGCGCGGCCCAGCAGCGAGCAGACGCGCCGACGCCACTCCAAGGACAGCGCCACCAGGTCAACCGTCGGCCCCCCGTCCGGCACGGCCAGCTCCTGGGAGAGGCGGGGAGCGATCATCGGGAGACGGCGGGGGGCAGTGACGGTATAGACCAGCGGTCGGGAACCTATGGCTCGCGAGCCATATATGGCTCTTCCGGTGACGGCATATGGCTCCCAGACAATTTTGAGTTGAAAAAATAAAAATAAATCAGTTTGGAACTGATTTTAAAATACTTGTGATATTGCTTAATAATACCGTGTCATTTTAAAGTAAACAGAAATTAGTTTTGAAGATACATTTCACGGGTCACGCCTGCACAAAGCTCGACCTCACCACGTATGAACCAGACTACAAGGCCATCAGCAAAATCACGCAGCACCAGAAGTCGCATTAAAAGTAAGACATATTTAATTTATTATACGTAAAAAATACTATATGGCTCTCAATGAAATATATTTAGAAATATTTGGCTTTTATGGCTCTCCCAGTCAAAAAGGTTCCCGACCCCTGGTAGAGACCAAGCCGGTGCTGAAGATGACGTTGACCTTTTGCGACGTGCGGCGTCGTGGTTACCCGGTCGGTGAGGTCGTGGAGGCCGCTGAAGGCCGTGATGTAGGAGTGAGCCTGCGTCCCCGCTAGCGGCACGCCGTGCACCTGGGCCGCAAGGACGTTGCTTGTCGCGTCGAACCCTTGCGCACGCGCACATCGGCATCGCTCGCAATGCTCGCCGGGAACTTCTTCCGTGCCGTACGCAGACAACCGTGCTAATCGGATATCTGTCTGCTTATATGTCTGTCTATATGTCTCTGGTTCTGTGTTTGATCTCTCTCTCAAATTTAGCATCCTCAAGAAGAACGTAATCAACCAGGTAGGGTGTTGACTGTCATGTTATCCGACTCTCTGTTGTATTACATTACATTTCTAAGTATACTAGATTTGTGTTTCTATTTCATTTATGTATGTGTCTCTCTCTATGTATCTCTGTGATATCTGTCTGCTTATAGGTCTGTCTATATGTCTCTGGTTCTGTGTTTTATCTCTCTCCCAAATGTAGCATTCTCAGGAAGAACGTAATCAACCAAGTAGGGTGTTGACTGTTATGTTATCCGACTCTCTGTTGTATTACATTACATTTCTAAGTATACTAGATTTGTGTTTCTATTTAATTTATACCTGATGACGATTGCTTGTGTTGCAATCGAAACGTCGTATGCTATTATTTAATCTAATTCATTACTTTATATTTATACCGTGACTTCACCGAAAGAACCAAAGAATAATTCCTGCGGTCACGAAAGCTCTAAATTAAGTTTAAAAGCTACATAACATACGGGCAGCCACAAACAGCGGCCAAGCCACTAGGAAATGACCTTTGACCTGACTGCCGCCCCCCCACGCCCCCCCGTGTCTCACCTCCCAGGTAGGCGTAGCGCGAGGCGGAGAGGGCCCCGTCTGGGCCCTGGGCTCTCCTGAGGCCCAACTCCATGAGCTCCACATGGCTGCCGGCGGCCAAGCGGAAGCGTGCCGCGTTCGTGGCCACCAGGCTGCGCAGACGGGGGGCGGGCCACAGTGGCTATGAGATGTTAACTATCTCGCCTGGTATGCAGGAGGTCGTGGGTTCGATCCCGACCCTGTTAACTACCTCGCCTGGTGTGCAGGAGGTCGTGGGTTCGATCCCGACCCTGTTAACTACCTCGCCTGGTACGCAGGAGGTCGTGGGTTCGATCCCGACCCTGTTAACTACCTCGCCTGGTGTGCAGGAGGTCGTGGGTTCGATCCCGACCCTGTTAACTACCTCGCCTGGTGTGCAGGAGGTCGTGGGTTCGATCCCGACCCTGTTAACTACCTCGCCTGGTGTGCAGGAGGTCGTGGGTTCGATCCCGACCCTGTTAACTACCTCGCCTGGTACGCAGGAGGTCGTGGGTTCGATCCCGACCCTGTTAACTACCTCGCCTGGTGTGCAGGAGGTCGTGGGTTCGATCCCGACCCTGTTAACTACCTCGCCTGGTGCGCAGGAGGTCGTGGGTTCGATCCCGACCCTGTTAACTACCTCGCCTGGTGCGCAGGAGGTCGTGGGTTCGATCCTGACTCTGACGTCTGCTGCTGTATATTTGGAGTTTGCATGTTCTCCCCGTGGTGAGATGTTAACTACCTCGCCTGGTGTGCAGGAGGTTGTGGGTTCGATCCCGACCCTGACGCCTGCTGCTGTATATTTGGAGTTTGCGTGTCTCTCTCTCTCTCTCATCATCATCATCACCATGGTGGCTAGGAGATGTTGACTACCTCGCCTGGTATGCAGGAGGTCGTGGGTTCGATCCTGACCCTGACGCCTGCTGCTGTATATTTGGAGTTTGCGTGTCTCTCTCTCTCATCATCATCACGGTGGCGAGGAGATGTTAACTACCTCGCCTGGTGTGCAGGAGGTCGTGGGTTCGATTCTGACTTTGTCGCCTGCTGCTGTATATTTGGTGTTTGCATGTTCTCCCCGTGGTGAGATGTTAACTACCTCGCCTGGTATGAAGGAGGTTGTGGGTTCGATCCTGACCCTGACGCCTGCTGCTGTATATTTGGAGTTTGCATGTTCTCCCCATGGTGAGATGTTAACTACCTCGCCTGGTGTGCAGGAGGTTGTGGGTTCGATCCCGACCCTGACGCCTGCTGTATATTTGGAGTTTGCATGGTCACCCCGTGGTGAGATGTTAACTACCTCGCCTGGTATGCAGGAGGTTGTGGGTTCGATCCTGACCCTGACGCCTGCTGCTGTATATTTGGAGTTTGCATATTCTCCCCATGGTGAGATGTTAACTACCTCGCCTGGTGTGCAGGAGGTTGTGGGTTCGATCCCGACCCTGACGCCTGCTGTATATTTGGAGTTTGCGTGTCTCTCTCCCCGTGGTGTGAATTTTTTTTTCCATCCACGTGATGATAAGCCACTTCGTTGAGCTATCATTTGTGGCGAGGTCACTTCTGAAAATAAGCTATGTAGCTCATTGGGCCTTACCTGGTAAAATAAAAAAGTGTTTAGTTTTAGTTCAGCCCTCGGTCAGCATCGGCGCTCGACAAATTACCGGCAGCAACGACGAACGAAGGCACTCCCCTACGGCGGTGCACGCTGTGGCCTTGTGACTCAAGCCATCAACTAAAAAAATATGTATTATTTTACTTTGGTCCATTAATGGAACTGGAGATCAGAGAGCTACATCCGAGATCCCTCCTTCTTCAAGTGACGCTCTGGTCCGCACAGAACGGTTCGTGGAAGTGGATATAACAGAGCTACATCCGAGATCCCTCCTCCTTCAAGTGACGCTCTGGTCCGCACAGAACGGCTCGTGGAAGTGGATATAACAGAGCTACATCCGAGATATTTCCTTCTTCAAGTGACGCTCTGATCCGCACAGAACGGCTCGTGAGAGTGGATATAACAGAGCTACATCTGAGATCCCTCCTACTTCAAGTGACGCTCTGGTCCGCACAGAACGGCTCGTGGAAGTGGATATAACAGAGCTACATCCGAGATCCCTCCTTCAAGTGACGCTCTGATCCGCACAGAACGGCTCGTGGAAGTGGATATACCAGAGCTACATCCGAGATCCCTCCTACTTCAAGTGACGCTCTGGTCCGCACAGAACGGCTCGTGAGAGTGGATATAACAGAGCTACATCCGAGATCCCTCCTACTTCAAGTGACGCTCTGATCCGCACAGAACGGCTCGTGGAAGTGGATATACCAGAGCTACATCCGAGATCCCTCCTACTTCAAGTGACGCTCTGGTCCGCACAGAACGGCTCGTGGAAGTGGATATACCAGAGCTACATCCGAGATCCCTCCTACTTCAAGTGACGCTCTGGTCCGCACAGAACGGCTCGTGAGAGTGGATATAACAGAGCTACATCTGAGATCCCTCCTACTTCAAGTGACGCTCTGGTCCGCACAGAACGGCTCGTGGAAGTGGATATACCAGAGCTACATCTGAGATCCCTCCTACTTCAAGTGACGCTCTGATCCGCACAGAACGGCTCGTGAGAGTGGATATAACAGAGCTACATCCGAGATCCCTCCTTCTTCAAGTGACGCTCTGGTCCGCACAGAACGGCTCGTGGAAGTGGATATAACAGAGCTACATCTGAGATCCTCCTACCTCAAGTGATGCTCTGGTCCGCACAGAACGGCTCGTGGAAGTGGAAATAACAGAGCTACATCCGAGATCCCTCCTACTTCAAGTGACGCTCTGGTCCGCACAGAACGGCTCGTGGAAGTGGATATAACAGAGCCACATCCGAGATCCCTCCTACTTCTTCTGCACGTGACTCTCTGGTGCACACGCGCGGTAGAGGTGGCGGCACTTTTCCACACACTCCGCCGTACGCAAAACGACCGTCGTCGTGCGACAGTCAAACCGATCGTTTGAATTCCCAGCGCTTGCAGGTGAGCCGACGTTTGCGTTGTGAAGTTCACGCCGGCGAGGCGGTTTAAATAGTGAGGGGGGATCGCCCTGTGGCGGTGGCGGCGGCGGCGGTGGCGGCGGTGGCGGCGGCGGCGGTGGTGGTGGTGGTGGTGGGAAAGGCGACCGCGGAGGTTACCTGGCGTAGTTGATGAAGTTGAGCAGCGGCGTCTCCAGGAGTTGCAACAAACACAGGGGGCCGTCCACGCGCAGCAGGGGAACCTGTCAACCCGACACGCACGCGCATTGAACTTCTTTCGCACCGTACGTAGCCAACCGCGCTTGTTCGGGGGTGCGGGGAGGGGGGGGAGGACGCCGGCGGTGGCTGCCGTACCTGAGGAAAGGCGACAGTCCCTTCTTGCAGGGCGTGCAGAACCACATCGGAGGCATCCAGCCCGGACAGGAACGCGTAGAATTCGTCGGGCACGTGATCGGGGAGGTGAGCGCGCAGGAAGTCGATGTCTGTGGACAGAGGTAAAGGTGGTTCATGTGGCCTGCACTCACCCATTTATTGTGAAAATTCCATCACAGTTCCTATGATCACTGTTTCATTGGTTTCATGGCTTTATTTTGGTGATTTCGAAAAGTGTATTGGATTAGCCATGTTTGTTTGTTGTAGTACAGAGTTAGACTGATGGCCTTAATCTAAGTTGTCTTGTGGTTGTTGTTGGTTGTTTGACTTGCATCCCACTGGGATTTTTGCACACAGCGTTGGTGTACGGTGATTTTTTTCTGCAATGTTTTGCTGTCTTTTCTTGGATTTTCTGTTTGCACTCAAGTCACATATTCATGTTAAGATATTTTTTTGTTCATGTTTTTGTTTTTTGTTTGTTGCGGTTGCACCCGATTCAAGAGCCGAATGGCTCACAGGGCTATACCTAATACATGAACTTAAACTTGAATACAGCTCAGTGTTAGACTCACCTGGGCCTCCCCTAGGTCGGCTCAGCCTCAAATGAGCACCCGGTGCGATGTGTAAACATCGCCACTGGGGGAGACAAAGGCGGCCGGGCGTGGTGTTGGTCACCCACCCTCTCGTGTGCCGTGCCGGCTTTCATAAGCGCTAACAGCACTTGCTCCAACAGTCTGTTACAGGCTACACGGGCAGATACTGGGGCTAGGATAACAGCAGATACTGGGGCTAAGATAACAGTAGATACTGGGGCTAGGTTAACAGCAGATACTGGGGCTAAAATAACAGCAGATACTGGGGCTAGGATGACAGGAGATACTGGGGCTAAAATAACAGCAGATACTGGGGCTAGGTTAACAGCAGATACTGGGGCTAAAATAACAGCAGATACTGGGGCTAGGATGACAGGAGATACTGGGGCTAGGCCAGCACCCAAGTAGAGACGACACGAAGACAGCGACGGCGTAGAACCAGCCCATCCCGATCCCAGGGCAGTCCCAAGCTCTCTCAGCCTCCGACTTATATACCCCCCCCCCCCCACGTGGTCTAGCCCCGCCCCCTGACCACGCCCCCAGGCCACGCCCCCCTTCTCGAACTGTCTCGGCCAATCCAGAACATCCCCGATGGTTCTTCTTGGTTCTTTCGGTAAAGTCACGTAGAAGGAGAATAATAAATAATTAAAATAAAACATAATAAAATAATTCTCACGACGTTTCGGCCACAACGCAAGCAGCCGCCTTCTCGACAGACCTGTTCCCCACCTGAGGACGGCTGCTTGCGTTGTGGCCGAAACGTCGTGAGAATTATTTTATTATGTTATATTTTTATTATTTTATTATTTCCATCCTACGTGACTTTACCGAAAGAACCAAGAAGATGAATCCCTGCAGTCACGAAAGCTTTAAATCGAAAAAATCCCCGATGGTCCCTCCTGTAATTATCCCTCGTGACCACTTGGCCACGCACTGTCTGTGTAGTGTGTCTGTGTAGTGTGTCTGTGTAGTGTCTGGGGGGGGGTCTTTGTTTTTGTAGTGTCTCTGTGTAGTGTGTCTGTGTAGTGTGTCTGTCTGCGTAGTGTGTCTGTGTAGTCTCTCTGCAGTGTCTCTGTGCAGTGTGTCTCTCTGTGCAGCGTGTCTCTCTGCGCAGTGTGTCTGCGTAGTGTGTCTGTGTAGTCTCTGCGCAATGTCTCTGTGCAGTGTGTCTCTCTGCGCAGTGTGTCTGTCTGCGTAGCGTGTCCGTCTGCACAGTGTGTCTCTGTGTAGTGTGTCTGTGTAGTCTCTGTGCAGTGTCTCTGCGCAGTGTGTCTCTCTGCGCAGTGTGTCTGTCTGCGTAGCGTGTCCGTCTGCGTAGTGTGTCTCTGTGTAGTGTCTCTCTGTGTAGTCTCTCTGTGCAGTGTCTCCGCGCAGTGTGTCTCTCTGTGCAGTGTGTCTCTCTGCGCAGTGTGTCTCTCTGCGCAGTGTGTCTCTGTGCAGTGTGTCTCTCTGTGCAGTGTGTCTCTCTGTGCAGTGTGTCTCTCTGCGTAGTGTCTCTGTGTAGTCTCTCTGCAGTGTCTCTGTGCAGTGTCTCTGTGCAGTGTGTATCTCTGTACAGTGTGTCTCTCTGCGTAGTGTCTCTGTGTAGTCTCTCTGCAGTGTCTCTGTGCAGTGTGTCTCTCTGCGCAGTGTGTCTGTCTGCGTAGTGTGTCTCTCTGTGTAGTCTCTGTGCAGTGTCTCTGCGCAGTGTGTCTCTCTGCGCAGTGTGTCTGTCTGTGTAGTGTCTCTGTGCAGTGTCTCTGCGCAGTGTGTCTCTCTGCGCAAGTGTGTGGGTCTGTGCAGTGTGTCTCTCTGTGCAGTGTGTCTCTCTGTGCAGTGTGTCTCTCTGCGTAGTGTCTCTGTGTAGTCTCTCTGCAGTGTCTCTGTGCAGTGTCTCTGTGCAGTGTGTATCTCTGTGCAGTGTGTCTCTCTGCGTAGTGTCTCTGTGTAGTCTCTCTGCAGTGTCTCTGTGCAGTGTGTCTCTCTGCGCAGTGTGTCTGTCTGCGTAGTGTGTCTCTCTGTGTAGTCTCTGTGCAGTGTCTCTGCGCAGTGTGTCTCTTTGCGCAGTGTGTCTGTCTGCGTAGTGTCTCTGTGCAGTGTCTCTGCGCAGTGTGTCTCTCTGTGCAGTGTGTCTCTCTGTGCAGTGTGTCTCTCTGTGCAGTGTGTCTCTCTGTGCAGTGTGTCTCTCTGCGTAGTGTCTCTGTGTAGTCTCTCTGCAGTGTCTCTGTGCAGTGTCTCTGTGCAGTGTGTATCTCTGTGCAGTGTGTCTCTCTGCGTAGTGTCTCTGTGTAGTCTCTCTGCAGTGTCTCTGTGCAGTGTGTCTCTCTGCGCAGTGTGTCTGTCTGCGTAGTGTGTCTCTCTGTGTAGTCTCTGTGCAGTGTCTCTGCGCAGTGTGTCTCTTTGCGCAGTGTGTCTGTCTGCGTAGTGTCTCTGTGCAGTGTCTCTGCGCAGTGTGTCTCTCTGCGCAGTGTGTCTCTGTGCAGTGTTGTGTCTCTCTGTGCAGTGTGTCTCTCTGTGCAGTGTGTCTCTCTGTGCAGTGTGTCTCTCTGCGTAGTGTCTCTGTGTAGTCTCTCTGCAGTGTCTCTGTGCAGTGTCTCTGTGCAGTGTGTATCTCTGTGCAGTGTGTCTCTCTGCGTAGTGTCTCTGTGTAGTCTCTCTGCAGTGTCTCTGTGCAGTGTGTCTCTCTGCGCAGTGTGTCTGTCTGCGTAGTGTGTCTCTCTGTGTAGTCTCTGTGCAGTGTCTCTGCGCAGTGTGTCTCTCTGCGCAGTGTGTCTGTCTGCGTAGTGTCTCTGTGCAGTGTCTCTGCGCAGTGTGTCTCTCTGCGCAGTGTGTCTCTGTGCAGTGTGTCTCTCTGTGCAGTGTGTCTCTCTGTGCAGTGTGTCTCTCTGTGCAGTGTGTCTCTCTGCGTAGTGTCTCTGTGTAGTCTCTCTGCAGTGTCTCTGTGCAGTGTCTCTGTGCAGTGTGTATCTCTGTGCAGTGTGTCTCTCTGCGTAGTGTCTCTGTGTAGTCTCTCTGCAGTGTCTCTGTGCAGTGTGTCTCTCTGCGCAGTGTGTCTGTCTGCGTAGTGTGTCTCTCTGTGTAGTCTCTGTGCAGTGTCTCTGCGCAGTGTGTCTCTCTGCGCAGTGTGTCTGTCTGCGTAGTGTCTCTGTGCAGTGTCTCTCTGTGCAGTGTGTCTCTCTGCGCAGTGTGTCTCTGTGCAGTGTGTCTCTCTGTGCAGTGTGTCTCTCTGTGCAGTGTGTCTCTCTGTGCAGTGTGTCTCTCTGCGTAGTGTCTCTGTGTAGTCTCTCTGCAGTGTCTCTGTGCAGTGTCTCTGTGCAGTGTGTATCTCTGTGCAGTGTGTCTCTCTGCGTAGTGTCTCTGTGTAGTCTCTCTGCAGTGTCTCTGTGCAGTGTGTCTCTCTGCGCAGTGTGTCTGTCTGCGTAGTGTGTCTCTCTGTGTAGTCTCTGTGCAGTGTCTCTGCGCAGTGTGTCTCTCTGCGCAGTGTGTCTGTCTGCGTAGTGTGTCTCTCTGTGTAGTCTCTGTGCAGTGTCTCTGCGCAGTGTGTCTCTCTGCGCAGTGTGTCTCTGTGCAGTGTGTCTCTCTGTGCAGTGTGTCTCTCTGTGCAGTGTGTCTCTCTGTGCAGTGTGTCTCTCTGCGTAGTGTCTCTGTGTAGTCTCTCTGCAGTGTCTCTGTGCAGTGTCTCTGTGCAGTGTGTATCTCTGTGCAGTGTGTCTCTCTGCGTAGTGTCTCTGTGTAGTCTCTCTGCAGTGTCTCTGTGCAGTGTGTCTCTCTGCGCAGTGTGTCTGTCTGCGTAGTGTGTCTCTCTGTGTAGTCTCTATGCAGTGTCTCTGCGCAGTGTGTCTCTTTGCGCAGTGTGTCTGTCTGCGTAGTGTCTCTGTGCAGTGTCTCTCTGTGCAGTGTGTCTCTCTGCGCAGTGTGTCTCTGTGCAGTGTGTCTCTCTGTGCAGTGTGTCTCTCTGTGCAGTGTGTCTCTCTGTGCAGTGTGTCTCTCTGCGTAGTGTCTCTGTGTAGTCTCTCTGCAGTGTCTCTGTGCAGTGTCTCTGTGCAGTGTGTATCTCTGTGCAGTGTGTCTCTCTGCGTAGTGTCTCTGTGTAGTCTCTCTGCAGTGTCTCTGTGCAGTGTGTCTCTCTGCGCAGTGTGTCTGTCTGCGTAGTGTGTCTCTCTGTGTAGTCTCTGTGCAGTGTCTCTGCGCAGTGTGTCTCTCTGCGCAGTGTGTCTGTCTGCGTAGTGTCTCTGTGCAGTGTCTCTCTGTGCAGTGTGTCTCTCTGCGCAGTGTGTCTGTCTGCGTAGTTTGTCTCTCTGTGTAGTCTCTGTGCAGTGTCTCTGCGCCGTGTGTCTCTCTGCGCAGTGTGTCTGTCTGCGTAGTGTCTCTGTGCAGTGTCTCTGTGTAGTCTCTCTGCAGTGTCTCTGTGCAGTGTCTCTGCGCAGTGTGTCTCTCTGTGCAGTGTGTCTCTCTGCGCAGTGTGTCTCTCTGCGCAGTGTGTCTGCGTAGTGTCTCTGTGCAGTGTCTCTGCGCAGTGTGTCTCTCTGCGCAGTGTGTCTGTCTGCGTAGTGTCTCTGTGCAGTGTCTCTCTGTGCAGTGTGTCTCTCTGTGCAGTGTGTCTCTCTGCGTAGCGTGTCCATCAGCGCAGTGCGTCTCCCTCCTCACCCTCGGCGTCGATGCGGAAGGCCTGGATGAAGGCCACGCAGTCGGCGAGACCCGCGCTGAGGGCCGCGCCGCCCCCAAAGGGCGCGCGGCGGAACGAGGCCTCGAAGCAGGCCCTGGCACAAGCTCTGCCGGACCGCCACAGCGCGTAGGCCATGGTGAACTGGTAGAAGTCCGTGTGGAGGGCGCCGGGCATCATGGACCTCCTCGAAGCTGCCATCGTCTCACCACGGCGGTGGTGGTAGGCAGGAGGAGGTGGTGGTGGTAGTGGATGAGGTGGGTGGTTGTGGTGGTGGTGATGATGGTGGTTTATGATGGTGGTGGTGATGATGGATGGGGTTGTGATGATGATGGTGGTTGATGGAGATGATGATGGTGGTGGAGGTGGTGGTAGTGGATGAGGTGGTGGTGATGATGGTGGTTGGTGGAGATGATGATGGTCGTGGTAGTGGTGGTGATGGTAGTTTATGATGGTGGTGAAGATGGATGAGGTGGTGATGATAAATGGGGTGGTGGTGATGATGGTGGTAGTGGTTGGTGCAGTGTCTCTCTGTGTAGTGTGGTTGATGATGGTGGTGGTGATGATGGTGAAGGTGGTCGCTGATATTCGAGGCCTGGTTGAGGGTAGCCTTTGTCTTCGCGAGGATGTTGGTTGAGGGAGGTTTGCAAGGATTTGAAAACACAAGGTAGAGGAGATGTCAACGTGGCGGACGCTGTTGGTGGCATCACCATCTCCACTACCACCGCCACTCACATCTCCACCACCTTTCACACCTCCACCACCACCATTCACACCACCACCACTCACACCTACTGCACCACTACCAATCACACGTCCACCACCACCATTTCCACCACCATCTCTCACACCACCACCATCACCACCACCTCTCACACCCCCTCCACCACCACCACTCACACCACCACCACCATCTCCACCACCATCTCCACCACCACCACTCACACCACCACCACCATCTCCACCACCACCACTCACACCACCACCACTCACCTCCGCCACCACCACTCACACCACCACCACCACTCATACCACCACCATCTCCACCACCACCACCTCTCACACCTCCACCACTCACACCTCCACCACTCACACCGCTCACATCTCCACCACTCACACCACCAACACTCACACCACCAACCACAAAATCCTCCTCCCACTTCTCACAGAATGCCGCAGCTGCTGCTGCTGCTCAGAAACCACGCAGCGACCTCCACGCCACAGACAACTCCCTGAAGGGCTCATTCCTCAATCTCCTTGCTCTTAGGCCCCTTATATAGAGGCCCATAAGACTCACACAGAGACCCATAGATTCACACAGATACTCAGAGACACATAGACTCACACAGAGACCTATAGACTCACATAGAGACTCAGAGACCCATAGACTCACACAGAGACCCATAGACTCACACAGATACTCAGAGACACATAGACTCACACAGAGACCTATAGACTCATATAGAGACTCAGAGACCCATAGACTCACACAGAGACCCATAGACTCACATAGAGACTCAGAGACCCATAGACTCACACAGAGACTTAGAGACCCATAGACTCACAGAGAGACCCATAGACTCACAGAGAGGTCCATAGACTTACACAGAGCCTCAAAAGCCCATAGACCCACAGAGAGGCCCATAGACTCACACAGAGGCCCGCAAACTCACACAGAGGCCCATAGACTCACAGAGAGACTCAGAGACCCATAGACTCACAGAGAGACCCACAGACTCACAGAGAGACCCATACACTCACACAGAGACGCAGAGACCCGCAGACTCACAGAGAGACCCACAGCCTCACACAGAGACCCATAGACTCGCACAGAGGTCCATAGACTCACACAGAGACCCATACGCGCACACAGAGACCCATACACTAAGACTGAAACCCATAGACTTACATAGACGCCCACGCAGATTCGAGGTTTGGACACCACAGACTCGCATAAAGACCCGGCTGTTACCGTGGGCAAGCCGGTGAGGATAATCTCTGCGTACAACTGTGTGTGTCCTCAATGTGCACCTAGCCTGGCACAAGCGTCGCGGTGCGTCTGTCAACGTGGGGAGCGGTGGCGCAGCGGTTAGCACTATGCTGCGGTAACCTGAGTTCGATTCTCCTAGGGTGACTCAGCCTCAAACGAGTTCCCCGGTGCGTTGTGTTCGTAAACATCGCCACCGGGGAGACAAAGGCGGTCCGGGCGTGGTGCTGGCCACCCATCCCCCCTCGTGTGCCGTGCCGGTCTCGATTAATGCCACTCGCTAACAGCACTTGCCCCAACGGGGAGTTGAGGCTACACGGTGGAGGGGAAGGGGGGGGGGTCTTTGTCTTTGTATCCGACATATTCTGTATCTACCCGTGCTATGTTTAGCAATGTGTGAATTCACGCGTATCTATGTATGGGTCTGTCAATGCGCCGATTGGCGTTCCGCGTTGGGCACGTGTCCTCATCGATCCACTGCTGGATTGAAGCCTTTGGGGCCGTCCATAAATGACGTCACGCGATTTTGGGCAATTTTTGACCCCCCCCCCCATCGTCACACGGCGTCACAAAAAGTCAGCCCCCCCCCCCCAAAAAAATAAAACATGCTTCAAATCGCTTTAAACGATTGTCATTGTAGTGCGTATTTAATGTGGCGCTGCACTCAGATGTTGTAGAAGAAAACATTTATTAAAAGTCTATTTAATTAAGTCGAACGTGTTATCTACATTGATTTAAAGTTGCGCATTTTGATGTGACGTCACATTTCTCACCCCCCCCCCTCGTCACACATCGTCACAAATGTCTGACCCCCCCCCCCCCCTAAGTGCGTGACGTCATTTATGGACGGCCCCTTACCACGTGGTAAGGTGGTCTTGCCTATTACAGTACGTACTATACGTCCGTGAACACATCCCATTATATACGACAAAGACAAAGATCCCCCGTGTAGCCTGTAACAGACTGTAGGGGCAAGTGCTGTTAGCGAGCACCTATGAAGGCCGGAACGGCACACGAGGGGTGGGTGGCCAGCACCACGTCCGACCCCCTTTGTCTCCCCAGTGGCGATGTTTACTACACACTGCACCAGGTACTCATTCGAGGCTGAGTCGACCTAGGGGAGGCCCAGCACCGGTTCAGAAAATCGTCACTGGTGGTGATGGCCGTGAGCGGGAATCGAACCCGGTTCGCCGGGTTCATAGCGCTGGTGGTGGTGGTGGGGGTGGTGGTGGGAGGTGGAGGTGGTGGGAGGTGGTGGGGGTGGTGGTTGGAGGTGGTGGTGGGGGTGGTGGTGGAGGTGGTGGGGGTGGTGGTGGTGGGGGTGGTGGTGGGAGGTGGAGGTGGTGGGGGTGGTGGTGGGAGGGGTGGTAGGAGGTGGTGGTGGGGGGGTGGAGGTGGTGGTGGTGGGAGGTGGTGGGGGTGGTGGTTGGAGGTGGTGGTGGGGGTGGTGGGGGTGGTGGTGGAGGTGGTGGGGGTGGTGGTGGTGGGGGTGGTGGTGGGAGGTGGAGGTGGTGGGGGTGGTGGTGGGAGGGGTGGTAGGAGGTGGTGGTGGGGGGGTGGAGGTGGTGGTGGTGGGAGGTGGTGGGGGTGGTGGTTGGAGGTGGTGGTGGGGGTGGTGGGGGTGGTGGTGGAGGTGGTGGGGGTGGTGGTGGTGGGGGTGGTGGTGGGAGGTGGAGGTGGTGGGGGTGGTGGTGGGAGGGGTGGTAGGAGGTGGTGGTGGGGGGGTGGAGGTGGTGGTGGTGGGAGGTGGTGGGGGTGGTGGTTGGAGGTGGTGGTGGGGGTGGTGGGGGTGGTGGTGGAGGTGGTGGGGGTGGTGGTGGTGGGGGTGGTGGTGGGAGGTGGAGGTGGTGGGGGTGGTGGTGGGAGGGGTGGTAGGAGGTGGTGGTGGGGGGGTGGAGGTGGTGGTGGTGGGAGGTGGTGGGGGTGGTGGTTGGAGGTGGTGGTGGGGGTGGTGGGGGTGGTAGTGGAGGTGGTGGGGGTGGTGGTGGTGGGGGTGGTGGTGGGAGGTGGAGGTGGTGGGGGTGGTGGTGGGAGGGGTGGTAGGAGGTGGTGGTGGGGGGGTGGAGGTGGTGGTGGTGGGAGGTGGTGGGGGTGGTGGTTGGAGGTGGTGGTGGGGGTGGTGGGGGTGGTGGTGGAGTTGGTGGGGGTGGTGGTGGTGGGGGTGGTGGTGGGAGGTGGAGGTGGTGGGGGTGGTGGTGGGAGGGGTGGTAGGAGGTGGTGGTGGGGGGGTGGAGGTGGTGGTGGTGGGAGGTGGTGGGGGTGGTGGTTGGAGGTGGTGGTGGGGGTGGTGGGGGTGGTGGTGGAGGTGGTGGGGGTGGTGGTGGTGGGGGTGGTGGAGGTGGTGGGGGTGGTGGTGGGAGGGGTGGTAGGAGGTGGTGGTGGGGGGGGTGGAGGTGGTGGTGGTGGGAGGTGGTGGGGGTGGTGGTTGGAGGTGGTGGTGGGGGTGGTGGGGGTGGTGGTGGAGGTGGTGGGGGTGGTGGTGGTGGGGGTGGGGGTGGTGGTTGGAGGTGGTGGTGGGGGTGGTGGGGGTGGTGGGGGTGGTGGTGGAGGTGGTGGGGGTGGTGGTGGTGGGGGTGGAGGTGGTGGTGGTGGGAGGTGGGAGGTGGTGATGGTGGTGGTTGTCTTATCTCGACGTAAACCCACCACTTAGACGACGTAGATCTGTTGAGAGGCATCTCCCATCACCACCATCATCACCACCATCACCACCACTATCATCACCACCAACGCCGCCGCTCCGCTTGCCTGTGACGGCCCCTGCATCTCAATCGCAAAAACACACAACCTCTTGACCCAACTTGACCCCCCTCTTGCACAACACCCCTACCACCACCACCAACCACCACCACTGTCTTGTACACCACCCCTACCACCACCACCACCACTGTCTTGAACACCACCACCACTATCTTGTACACCACCCTCCAACAACCACCACCACTGTCTTGTACACCACCCCTACCACCACCACCACCACTATCTTGTACACCACCCTCCAACAACCACCACCACCCTCCAACCACCACCACCACAATCCCCTCCCTCCGCTTGGACGCTGCGCGAATCTCAGAGCCCCCCCGCAAACTCACGGGCAAAACCAGAAGCGCTCACAGGAGGAGCGTGGATGACGAGTTAGCAGCAGCAGCAGCAAGAACAGCAGCAGCGGCAGCAAGAGCAACAGCAGTAACAGCAGCAGCAGTAGCAAGAGCAGCAGCAGTAACAGCAGTAACAACAACAACAACAGCAGCAGCAGCAGGAGCAGCAGCAAGAGCAGCAGCAGGAGCAGTAGCAACAGCAAGAACAGCAGCAGTAACAGCAGCAGCAGGAGCAGCAGCAGCAAAAACAGCAGGAGCAGCAGCAAGAGCAACAGCAGTAACAGCAGCAGCAACAAGAACAGCAGCAAGAGCAACAGCAGGAGCAGCAGCAGCAGTAACAGCAGCAGCAACAAGAACAGCAGCAAGAGCAGCAGCAGGAGCAGCAGCAGGAGCAGCAGCAGCAGTAACAGCAGCAGCAGCAAGAACAGCAGCAGCAACAGCAGCAGTAACAGCAGCAGCAGCAAGAACAGCAACAACAACAGCAGCAACAGCAGCAGCGGCAGCAGCAGCGGCTGGGTTTGCAGGTAGCCACGTGCCGACTGAAACTCCGAGTTTGATGGCAACGCAGTCGAAGTCGCGGCGTGGGTTCTCGGCCGTGAGTCTCGCGAAAGTGTTTTTTCTTGGGTGCACTTTGACAAAAGGTCACGATGAACTGGGGGGGAGGAGGAGGATGAGGGAGGGAGGGGGGCAGCTAACGCGCTTTTCCAGAGTGTACCCCAAAAGGCATGCGGATGCCCACCCCACCCCACCCCCCATGCGCCTCCCTCTGCGTTCGAGAATGATGCGGGCGTTTGAACTTTACAAAGTGTCCCTGCCTCTCTCTCTCTGTCTCTCGCTCTCCCTCGCGTGGCGTCGTGATGGAAATTGGGGATTGGTGAAGTATGGTCAAAACGACCGCCCCCCCCCGCCCCCGCAAGAACCGTCAGTACGGCAGTGGATTGGCAAGAAAGTTGGCTGAAGATGATCAACTCTTCTTATTACACTTGCATACCCATACAGCCATAGGCTCACACAGAGAGCCATAGACTCGCACAGAGAGCCATAGACTCGCACAGAGACCCATAGACTCGCACAGAGAGCCATAGACTCGCACAGAGAGCCATAGACTCATGCAGAGACCCATAGACTCACGCAGAGACCCACAGACTCACACAGAAAGCCATAGACTTGCACAGAGACCCACAGACTCACACAGAGACCCACAGACTGACACAGAAACCCATAGACTCGCACAGAGACCCATATATTGTATAGAGAACCATAGACTCGCATAGAGACCCATATATTGTTTCGAGACCTATAGACTCACATAGAGACCCATATATTGTATAAAGACCCATATACTCACTTAGAGACCCAAATATTGTATCGAGGCCCATAGACTCACTTCGAGACCTATATATTATACAGAGACCCATATACTCACATAGAGACCCATAGATTGTATAGAGACCCATAGATTGTATACAGACCCTTAGACTCACTTATAGACCCATAGATTATATAAAGGCCCATAGACTCAAATAAAGACCCATAGATTGTATAATGACCCATAAACTCACTGAGAGACCCATAGACTCACATAGAGACCCATAGATTGTATAATGACCCATAAACTCACTGAGAGACCCATAGACTCACACAGAGACCCATAGATAGTATAAAGACCCAAAGACTCACTGAGAGACCCATAGACTCACACAGAGACCCATAGATAGTATAAAGACCCAAAGACTCACTGAGAGACCCATAGACTCACATAGAGACCCATAGATTGTATAATGCCCCATAGACTCACTGAGAGACCCATAGACTCACTGAGAGACCCATAGACTCACATAGAGACCCATACATAGTATAAAGACCCATAGACTCACTGAGAGACCCACAGATTGTATAATGACCCATAGACTCACTGAGAGAACCCATACATTGTATAGTGACCCATGGACTCGCGTAGAGACCCACATCGGTTCTGCAAATCTTGCAACAAAAACAACAGCCTGCATATCAAACCAACAGCGGCCTCTGGACCTTGACCTATGGACACAGTGGCGATTGAAGCGCGCACACTCTGCACATCGTGACATCGTCATCGCAAAACGATTCCACCCCCCCCCCCCCCCCACGTGCAACCGTCATCAACCCTGGCCAGTCCACTGCTGGATGAAGGCCTCCGGCTGCGTACGGTGCGAAAGAAGTTCTACGTCCCAGCACGTGACGTGTCCTAGCCCCGCCCCCCCCGCCCCACTGCTGCCTATGACGTACGTTCTCTAAACCACGTGCTCCTCCCTTCCCACACGTACACCCCCCCCCCTTCCCTGTTAAATGTAACAGGTTCCGGAGACACTTGTAGAGGTAACTTCTTTATTACAATCCAACAGCACTCCCAACAGTCCAACAGTCCTGATACTCTGTAACAACTCCCTAGGTACACAGTCTAGGTACACAGCCTAGATACACTACTCTGGCTACGCTCTGGTACAATCCAACAGCACTCCAACAGTCCAACAGTCCTGATACTCTGTAACAACTCCCAGGTACACAGCCTAGGTACACAGCCTAGATACACTACTCTGGCTACGCTCTGGAACTCGCCCTCACAAGGTCGTAGAGCCGGGAGTTCCAGAGTCCCACCACTGGCCCTCACAACATCCCAGGGTCCTCAGATGGCTGGTCTTGGGTCTTGGGTTTTGAGCTACAACTGGCCCTGATCGTCCAGGGAGCTCCCCTTTTATACCTAGTCCCCAACGAGGGGTGGGGCCGTGTGCGCCCCCAGATATCCCACAGAGCACACACAGCACCCCCCGTTGGTGGCGCCAAGAGGCTTAAGCGCCTGGCCCGCCCAGGGTCCCAGAGCCCCCAGCAGCCCCTCCCTTCTTATGTCACTACACCTGTGTAGCCTTAACAGACTATAGAGCAGGGGTGTCCAAACTTTTTGCAAAGAGGGCCACATTTGATAAAGTGAAGATGCCCGGGGGCCAATAGTTCCTTTTGACGTTGTTTTAACCACAAAAGTTACGTGAAAATACACACTGTTACAAAACTATTTTCATTGTCACAATTACCTTTATTTTTCAAATGACAATGTAACCAAATATAAGCCACTCAGGCAGACGGGAACAACTCTAAAAACGCAATTCTGCCTTTCATTCAGTCAGATAACATTGAACAAACTGCATATAGAATACCTTAAATTTCCATGAGTTTTACGATGTATTTATTCTGACAGAGCTAGCGAGCCATAATTAACACGTTATAAGATCGAAGTGGCGGGCCGTATGAAATCTGCCCGCGGGCCGTGATTGGCCCGCGGGCCGGACTTTGGACATGCCTGCTGTAGAGGCAAGTGCTGGTAATCTGTGAAGGCCGGCACAGCACACGAGGGGGGTTGGGTGGTCAGCCAGCACCACGCCCGGCCGCCTTTGTCTCCAGAGTTGCAGTGGGGTCTGTGGCAGTGGGGGTCTCCGCCTGATGTCAAGAGGAACGTGTCATCTCAAGAGTGATGTGTCAAGTCGTCTTTAGCCTGCAGTGCGAATGGACTAGTGGCCTTGGGAGGAAATGACAGGGGAGTCAGCCTGCAGTGCGAATGGACCAGTGGCCACGGGAGGTAATGACAGGGGAGTCAGTTGTGAGTGCAAAGGGACTGTTGGCCATGGGAGGCAATAACAGGGGGGTCAACTGCGAGTGCGAAGGGACTGGTGGCTACGGGAAAGATCGAGAATGGAGCGTGGTCAGGCGACGGAATAGGACGGTGGAGTCTGCCATTGGAGCTAACGTCCAGAGTCAGCAAGAATGATCGAGAAGGGGGGCGTGGCTTCGTGTAGGTATTAAAGGAAGATGCGCGGGAGACTCGGGGCTGTTGCAGTGGGTGTCTGATGTCGAGAGGAACGTGTCTTCAATAAAGTGCTATCTCAAGAGAAGTGTTTCAAGTCGTCTTTACGATTGTATTCCGGTGTCCTAATTTCACCTTCAACTCGACTCCGTGTCAGATGCCGTCTTCGACTTCACTTGGCGAGTGCATGCAAGATCATTGTGTCGTGGTGGTGGTGGTGGTGTTGGCGCACACACACGCCAATCCGGCCAACTTAAGACCAGGTCTGTCGGGGAGACAGCTTCTGATTCAGACGCTGTCTCCCCGACAGACCTGCTTGCGTTTTGGCCGAAACGTCGTGAGAATTATTTTATTATGTTTTATTTTTTTAATTTTATTATTTCCCTTCTACGTGACTTTACCGAACGAACCGAGAAGATGAACATGACTTTTGCCTATTTGTTTGTGTTTCTCCCTTGTCATGCGACTTTGCAGGATAAACACTGAGATTTATAAGCGGCACGGGGTGAGCAATAAGGTCTGAATTGGTCCGTAATAAAGTAGGGCACTGATAAGGGCCATTTTACTTTAATTTTTTACCTACGTGACTTTACCGAAAAAATCTAAGAATATGAACACTGATAAGGGGTTGACAGGCATGCATCTGCTTCACTGAACTGCAGCTGGTAGGCCAGGACAGAGGCTTCAGCTGGCAGCAGTCTTGGCGAGGGTCGAGAGGCCTGAGTTGGATCCCAGCTCCTGGCTGCTTCTTCTGCCCCCCCCCCACACACACAAGACGCCGGTCGATGCGCTGCCTTGGCTTCTGCAGCCGCTCCCGGATAGGAGAACTCCACGCCATCAGGGGAGGAAACCACTGTGTCGTCTTTAAGATTGCATCCACCACACTTCAAAAGTTGAACATCGTGAAGTGAGCAGCGTGGACTGCAGGTTTATTTTTCGATGTAAAGCTTCTTTCGTGACTGCAGGGATTCGTCTTCTTGGTTCTTTCGGTAAAGTGACGTAGAAGGGAAATAATAAAATAATAAAAATAAAACATAATAAAATAATTCTCACGACGTTTCGGCCACAACGCAAGCAGCCGTCCTCAGGTGAAGAACAGGTCTGTCGGAAAGACAGACCTGTTCTTCTTGAAGCATGTTTTATTTTCAAAATGGAAATATGGTTTTGGGGGGGGGAGGCAGAGCTTTGTGACGTCAAATTCTTTTGCAAAGGCGCTCTTTGCCCCTCCATCCCAGCTTAAATAGTCCAAGCCTGGGGCTTGTCATTCAGACTCTGTCTTCTCGACAGACCTGTTCTCCACCTGAGGACGGCTGCTTGCGTTGTGGCCGAAACGTCGTGAGAATTCTATTATGATGTTTTATTTTTATTATTTTATTATTTCCATTCTACGTATTTTTTATATTTTATTACCTGCTGCGTTTTCGAATGCGCCCCCCAGTGGCCAGAAACGTCATGGCACCACCTCAGAGCTACCTCGATGTTTAAATAAAGCTTCCCCTCCACGGTGTTAAACGTTTCTGAATATTTCTTGAAACGACACATTTGCTGCCTATTGTGCAGAAGGCGCCTGATGCCATGCTTGTACCAATTGAAAGGGTAAAAACCTACTACTATATTTTGCCACTGGTAAAGGAGATGTCTCATAGCAGAGGTGTGGACTCGAGTCATGTGACTTGGACTCGAGT